ATATATATATATATATATATATATTTATATATATATATATATATATATATATATATATATATATATATATATATATATATATATATATATATATATATATATATATATATATATATATATATATATATATATATATATATATATATATATATATATATATATATATATATATATATATATATATATATATATATATATATATATATATATATATAAATATATGTGTGTGTGTGTGGTTATAAAATTGTAAAATTACAGAAAATAATTATATAATTGGAAAACAACAAGTTTCAATTATTGATTTAGAAAATTATTATAACTTATTTTAAATATTATATATAATAATTGGTAAACGAATTAAGAGAACTTAGAAAATTAAAATTGATTGCAACATAAATTTATTTTAAAATTTTAAGAAAAAAAAAATAATTATGTTGTTAAAAAAATATATTAATACTCTATTTCAGAAGTTACTACAAATGCAAAATAAATAAATATTAGAAATATTTATAAAATTGAAATTTCAAATTACGTGTCTTGTTAAAAATTATAAATTCATTTACGCATGTTATATTTTGCAAAAAATAATAGGAATTACTCAATAATGAAATATGCTCTGACAATTTATAAAATGACAAAAGAATAATAAAACATAACAGAGCCGGTCCTGAGGGGAAGCCAGAGATGCCACCGCTTAGGGCCCCATTTTAATCTGGGCCCCCGAAATTTAGTTAAAAAAATCCTACTATATATATATAGATACATTTTTCAAATAGAAAATAATATTGCAAACAAAAATTTATAAGACAGAGGCCTCGATATTTTATCTCGCCTAAGGCCCCGGAAACCCTAGGGCCGGCTCTGAAACATAATTTATTTTAGAAATTCAGTAAAATTGGTCTTCCAAGAAGAAATCCTCCTGCACCAAAAAAACCAAGTTGAATCCGATCAGATACTTGTTTTCGCCGGAGCCCACTTCCACCGACTAGATACGAAGGTAAGCTCATCTCATATATTCCATCTAAAATCCGATTTCGTCCGGTTTTGGCAACTTGTTTTTTATCAATTTTTTCCCCGAGAACGTTTCTATGATTTTTCCATGGCTAAATCGAATGAACTCTGATATTACGAAGAAAATCCCCAAAATCGCATTGTCGCGATTTTAGAGTTTCAAGATCTTGGTGTGGGTGGCAGACCAGGTTGATAGGGGCGATGATGGGGAGGAAGGCGTGCAATTTTGTTGGAGAAGAAAAAAATAGACCCTATTTAGGTAAATAAGAGGATATACAAGTAAATGCACCATAATTATTAATGGTTCTATTATTTGACCATTCACTATTAAAATTAGGGGGTGTTTCTAGTTTTTCATAATATAGGTGGTGAATGCGACATTTTCTACCGTACATGTGCAAAGTGTATTTAATCCTTTATTAAATGCGAATAAGTATATATATAGATAAAGGGGGTAAATTTGTCCAACAAAAGTATCAATACTCAATCAACGCTTCAAACTTACTAATAGTACATATTTGTTGACGGCATGGGCCATTTCGTCGCATTTCATAGTTCAAGGGGTAAACGCGATAGTGATAATAGTACATGGGTGTAAAATATATTTAACTTATTAATTAATTCTAGCAAATGACCTCGATTTTTTAAAATCGTTTAATCCGACGTTGGCTTTCTTTTTAACTCGGTTCACTATTTTTTCAATTGATTTTTTTTGCCGCTGTTGACCAATGTTGAATGTCGGGTTAACATCGTTGACTTTTTTTTTATTTAAATTATTGTGTAGTGCAAAAATTATAATTTTAAAAAAAAATCAAAGCTGATAACCAGTGAGAAAAATAATATCATAAAAAAAGTCAAAAAACAAAAGAAAAAAAAAAAAGTCAACGCAGCTCAACGACAGAAAATTTTTAAAACAAAAAAAAACATTAAAATTGACTACCGGTATTAGCCCCAAAAACCGTTGTACTAGAGTGGTTATCTCATTTCAAATTACTCCGATCCGCACATGTCTAATTCATCTTCTTCATATTTTCTTTGAGAAGAAATTTGGAATGCAGTGGCGGTTCCACGAAGAAAATTTTGAGAGGAGAAATTATTGAATTTTAGAATTTTTAAAATCGTATTTATTCTGGCCCAAAATTCTAGATAATTTTTTTTGTAGAAGTTTGTAATTTTAATATTACGTATTATTATGGTGTTATATAGTAATAATATTGTGTTGATCGGAAAAAAAGAATCACAGGAAAAAGTTAAAAAAAATCAAGAAAAATAGAAAAGTCAACATTGTTAACCGACAATCCAATGTCGGTGAACAGCGTCAAAAACAGTATTAAGAAAAAGTCAATACTGAAAAAAAAAAAAGTTAAAAAAAAAATCAACGGCGGTCAACAGTCAGCTGTAATGGTGGTAAAAATCGGGGTTGTTTGTCAAAATTGATTAAATGATGAAATTTGGGGTTCAATTGGGATTGAATAAAATTGTAGGGGCTTTTAGAATATTTTAAAACAGTGCAGGGATCTGAGTACAATTTTCTCAATGAAAAATCTCAAATTCAGTCCTAGTTCAATAGTTGACGGTTACTTCTTGACGGTCAAAGGTTTTCAATGTGTTAAAATGTGATAACATTAGTGTGTACTTTGTTGAAGGCGGTAAATGGGGATCAAAAGTGAAAACGTGAAAATTTGGGGGCCAAAACTGTAAATATCCCATATTAATTTTGTCATTTATAAATTTTTTCCAAAGGTGGGGACTGCACATTGCAAAAGGAAACACAGAGTTCTTGTTTGTCAGCTGAAGTTGTGGACGTCCAACACTTGATCTTGTTTTGTTTGCTTTTTTTTGACTAATCAAAAGCTTTTGATAATAAAAGAAAGCAGAAAAAAAATCTCTCTGGTCTGCAGTGTACAAATTCACCAAAAGAAAGATCAGATTGAAATGGCGGAGGCAGTAGTTTCGACAATCCGCAATCTCCTCGTGGAAGAAGCTAGATTCTACTCCTCAGTCAAGTCCGAGGTGGAAGCTATCCACCCGGTGCTTCAGCTAATGCGATCGTTCCTCCAAAAAAGAAGCCGACGAGAGATTGAGCAATTGGGTGTCGGAAGTACGAGAAGCAGCCTACGACATCGAGGACAACGTTGTCGTTTTCGTGGCCGCTAAGGTTGCCTCCAGGTTGTCGAGGAATTCATCAAACCCTTTGAAGAAAATGGGTTGTTTCTTCAAGGAAATCGTTGCCACTTACAGTGTGGGTACACGGATGTCTGGTATCAGAGCCAAGATCACCGGGCTCACCGAGAGCTTGCATGCATACTTTCGGGATGAACCCGATTATTGAAAGCTCCGGTGAAGGGACAGATTTCAGGCGCCGGGCGAGGATTCTCGATTTGAGGCGGTCTTATTCCCATGTTGTGGACGAAGACTTTGTTGGGCTGGAGGGTGACGTCAATATGTTGGCTGCACATTTGATCGACGACGGGCAGAGAGATAGAGTGGTTTCGATATATGGAATGGGGGGTCTGGGGAAGACCACCATAGCTCGGAAGGTGTACACGCACGGTGACGTGAGGCGGCATTTCGATGTGTTTGCTTGGTCTTGTATATCCCAGCAGTGGGATAAGAAGGATGTTTTGCAGGAGATACTGATCAAGCTTATACCCGAGAAGCGGGGCGAAATCCTTGGCATGAGGGACGAGGAATTGGTGAAGGAGCTTCACTGTGTCCAGCTTAAGAATAAGTGTTTGGTGGTTCTTGATGACATTTGGTCTGGCCAAGATTGGGAGAGGTTGCAGCCCGCTTTCCCGACGACAATGACGACCAGGGCAGCAGGTAGCAAGATTCTGCTCACGACTCGCAACAGACAAGTCCCGGATCTTGCGAACCCTAGTGGTTTTCTTTACGAACCGAGGTTTTTGAGCATTGAGGAGAGCTGGGAGCTACTCAGGAGGAAAGCATTTCCCAAAAGTGAAGATAATGTTGCTGGTAAGATACTTCATTTTTCCTTCTTTCATCTTATATACTCAAGTCAAAAACTGCACATAGGATGATGCATGGTTTCTGTTAGATTGATGTACATTAGGGCTCGTTCGGTTACCTATATTGGATTAACTCCCTACTGGCTAATTAATTATTTGGTTAGTAGCATGTTCGGTTTCTTAGATTAGATATTCTATTAAAATTTGTTAAATTCAGTTATTATGTATGAATTGTCTATAAAATCACTTAGATTAAAATAATACGATATGATCTGGTATATGATAACATCACCTGGTACTTGGCCAGGGGCAGAGGCAACGGACAACAACAAGCTGTAAACGGCGTTTTGGCCTTCAGTTACCATGATCTGCCGTACAAGTTCAAGCAACCCTTTCTTTATCTCGCCAATTTTCCCGAGGATTTCGAGATAGAAGCCGAAAAGCTCTACCAGTTCTGGTTGGCCGAAGGTTTTATATCACGAGACGATAGGGCTGAAGAAGAAACAATGGTTGATGTAGCTGAAAGATACTTGGCCGAACTGGCTCAAAGGTCCATGGTACAAGTCAATGTCAAGGAAACTGCTGGCGGTTTTAAAAGCTGCCGCCTTCACGATCTTATGAGAGATCTTTGTATAAGTAAAGCCAAAGAAGAGAACTTTGCCAAAGTCGTCGATTTCAGACACGAATCGTCGAGCACCAACAACACAACAGCAACAACAATGCGGAGAATTTCCGTCTATTTGGGCCGTAGTAACATTGCAAATTCCGATCCAGTTGCTGCATGCAGCGAATACCGTCACATCAGGTCGGCTTTCTTCTATGCTAATGATCTTACGGTTGACTTTATGCAACGTACGAAAGTCCACTTCAGCAACCTTGAATTACTCAGAGTTCTCAACCTTCAAGGATTTCGCTACCAGCTTCCTAAAACCATCGGAGACTTAATCCATCTGAGGCACTTGAGCTTGAGCTTTTCTCATTTCAAGAAGTTGCCGCCGTCGTTGGGCAAACTGATATTCTTGCAGACCCTCGATTTGGAAGTGGATAACGAACTGGAAGTCCCGAATGTCATATGGAAGTTGGCAAGACTAGAGCATCTATATCTTCCCGCCAAATTTCAAACTCACGACAGCAAAAAGTTGAGGCTGGACGGACTGAGTGAGCTGGAGATACTCGTGAACTTCAACACAAGATTCTGCGACGTGAGAGATCTCGATACGCTGACTAATCTTCGCAAACTAAGAGCAGCGATAAACGACGAGCTGAACGACCTGCCAAACATCATCAAGTACATAAGTTTCACGCAGAACCATCTGAGGCGCTCCTCCCTTTCGATTTCTTGCCCTCAGTTCTGCTCGGACGAAGAGCTGAGCCTGTTGAGAACATTGCTAGGCTGCCATCGTCTGTACAAGCTATCCATAAACAGGCGTATATCTAAGCTTCCGGAACATTACCATTTCTCGTCGAGCATTGCTAAAATCACCTTCAAGGCATCCGCGCTCGACAAAGACCCAATGGCAACACCGGAGAAGCTCTCGAGGCTGAGTAGTCTGAGATTGTACGGCTCCTCCTACGTGGAAGAGGACATGGTGTGCTCGACAGATGGTTTTCCGAGGCTTTTGTATTTGAAACTGTGGGACTTGCCGAATTTGAAGAGATGGAGGATCGAACAAGGAGCTATGCCAAAGCTCACACGTTTAGTCATTGCGCATTGCCGACAGCTGGAAATGCTTCCGGAAGGTTTGAAATTCATCAGCACCCTTCAAAAGTTGAATGCCAGGTGGATGCCTGATCTTTTCAAGGACCGGCTCAGAGCCGCAGATGCTCGAGGAGAATATTTTTATAAAGTCCGACATGTGCCTGACGTCAAGCTCGATTAAACCGGTTCATATCGACCATATGTAAGAAATTCTACTTTGATTTCTTGCTTGCTTAGCTTAATCACTATATTGGTGGTGTTACTATTTCCTTATGTTCTACTGAGTTTCTATCTATGTTTCTACATGCTATTTATCGTTTGGTAGGAAGAATGTGATAACATGGGATATTGTTGTAACTTTTATTTGATATATATTCTTGTATGCAGGTAATTGTTGTGTGTGGTACAAGTATTCTCAAATTTTGATTATTTTCAGCATTATAATTAATAGGTATCTTATATATAGGTTAAAATATAATTTTGACTTAATAGTTAATACAATTTTCATACACAAGCCGTGTTTGAGTAGGAAAAACGAACTCTACCTCAGGCAAAACGGGCCAAAGGATGACACTCATGAATCACGTTAGATTTTGTGGACCCAACGTCGTTTAGACTTCCGCAGTACGTTTTTGCCATTTTAGGTAAATTTTAGAAAACTAGGAAGGTGGACGCACGTATTGATTCAGTATATTTATGAGATTTTTTTTTTTGAATTTGTACTGTTTTTCAACATATATTCGATCGAAATAACTAAATAGAAACCGGAAACAAGGCCACGAAAAGGATATAATCCGATGCAACCGAGGAGGAAGTTGCGATTTTCGGGAAACTTGTTGTTGTAAAACTGGGCAAAGAGTGCAATGACGATGATGACAACACCAATCAACAAACGAATGTTGCTCATCCTATTATTTTCAGGAAATCCTTTGCTCGTCACGATCTACCATATCCCAACAACAAAAATATCATTAAAATAATAAATAAATAAAATCAAACATCTAAATGGGACAATGGGACATCACCAATGGATACCTAATTGGGAAGTAAGACCCTCTCATTTGAAAAAAATCACATGAGGTAGAATTAGTGGTGAAAATCAATTGATTGATTGGAAATGGCTTTTTCGGACAAAATTTTTCTCCTAAGTAAAAAATTAATCCAATTTCCGTTCCAAAAAAATTGGAATGTAAAAAATTCATTACGATTTCGGAATGGGAGGAATTTCAAAAATTTCGGAAATTAATTAGTTTATAATATCTTGTTCTAAATTCGGATATGATAAAAAAATTCACAATATTGTTATTTTTTTTTTGTTTTTAAATTTTGCAAGAAATGCAAGAAAATCCAAAAGTGAGTTCGACATAACTTAATAAATAAAAACACATGTAGAAAGAACAAATTGGAACATAGATTTTCTTATAAGGAAAAATGTAACACAAAGAATCTTGCACCAATTAATCTTTTCTAAGGTATTAATTTACTTGACCCTTCGGTATCTATAATTTTCATATATAATATATCATCAAATTATATAATATATTTAAAAGAAACCATATAATATTCCCGATCGGATATTCGATTTTCTGGTAATTTTATATACCATTCCAATTCCGTTTCAAATATATTCGGAAGAATAGTAAATCGGAATTTCGAAAATGTGAATGAAAAATATAGTTCCAAATTTGAATATTTTTATCGGCATTGGCGGAATTCGAAAATTTCATTCTGATTTCCACCCGTAGGTAGAACATCCTCTAAAACATAATTAAAAAAAAATCCCGTTATATTTTTTCGCGATTTTCTAATTTACCTTATGTTTTTTGCGAATTTTGGATTACATTAGAAGCTAATCGACTATGTTGTTTGCATAGTCTATTTATTCATCGACTGTAGTTGATTAAAATATTAAAGAGTATACTAGATCTAAAAATAATGAATCGACTTATAAAAAAATATAGTTGATTTGTTAATCGACTATGCAAACAACATAGTCGATTAGCGTCCAGTTTAATCCAAATTTGGCGAAAAAATATAATCGTCGCCGTTCTCGGCGTCACGACCGCAACTCCGCCACCCTCGTCTGCAGCAAATGGTACGCCATGGACCCTACAACCTGCTCCGCTGTCACCCTCTGCGGCAACCTTTGTGACCTCTTCATGGTCCCCACCTTTTCCCAATTTCTCTCCCACCTCGACCTCTCACTCCTCTCTCCTTGAAAGGAGCATGGGTCTATGTGAAAGAGTGAATTACGGTTTGGGCTTCCCTATTAAGAAATGTTTAAGGGATTGTATCAAAGAGCCGCTATCTAATTTGTTTATACGCGCAGATGAAAGTAGATAGCAAAGTCGATTTAAATAACTTTGAAATGTTTCTCTACTATATTTCTCTTAGGAGTGAGCAGGTTGGATCCATCAACATGTTAAACTCGTCAAACCCGTCCTGTTGGAATCGGATGGATAGATATATCAATAAGATTAGATCCTTAAATGATACAAACCTTGTAGAACTTGTTACGAGACCCAATACCTTACGCATAAGCAAGATCGAAGACATCCAAAAACAAAGGATTCAGATTGGTGGAAGCAAGGAATAATGACCCCATAGCTATAAAGAGCTAGAAACCATTACTATTAAGGTGGAATACTGACCCCGTGGTTATAAAGAACCAGAAACCAATATTATGTCGCTAAGAAAATTACAAGAATCCACTTGTAAAATCCCGAAGATTGCTGTAGAACAACGAAGGAGAATTAATTTCACCAAATACTCAAAATATCATTAAAATTCGTCCATTAAAATATGCCAAATTGACAACCTATTTATAAGTGCTATAAAGACTTCTTTTTCACAAGGAAAATGACTCCTACCTAATCTATAATAAGGAAACTTATAAATAAGCAAATCCTAACCATAAAGAACTCTAAAATAATAAAAATATATTAAATCATAAAATAAAAACGTAAATAAATTAATTAAATAACTTGAATATCAAGTCTGACTTCTCGATCACCCTTCTAATCTCGCTTAGACAACAGACTGTGCACGTGCATGAACTTCAAGCTTCATTAGGACACTGTTACACTTCGAATCTCTTTCTGTATAAAACATGAAAGTTTTAGAACTTCCAGTTGGCTTTCCATAGCAATTGGAATCACCTTAATTGGACGTCATATGAGAGAGGTATAACCCGAATGGTTAAATTGCCAGAAATAGGCGAGAATCTCATATGCATGGAATTCGACTTGTCCAACGAATTCTTCTCTTTCTTTTCTTCCAATTCCTCAACAAGGACTCTTCAAAGGCCTGATTCGAGCCTTTATTATTCAATTCCAACACGAACAACTCCATTAATATCACTCGATTTCTCTTCTTCCAATTCTTCATCTTTGAGCTTGCTAGGATCGTATCATTAAATGGAGAAAACTCCCGTATTTCGGTGTAAGACGGGGTCAAATTCTTTTAATACACATAAAACCCGTCGTGCCCGCCATATAAAACATCGTCGTGTTGTTTATATTAAGCTGTATAATAAATTAATAATACAATAGAACCTCGATAAATTAATACCCGATAAATTAATAACCTCGCTTAAATAATATTTTTTTTTCCAGTACCAACTCGAGCACAACGTGCTAAATTACTAATTCGCTAAATTTATAAGATAATGCACATTTGAAAATTTTAAGAATCCCTATATAATATATAAATTAATAACACATAAAATGTTTTTTAAATATACAGTAGAATACATATTTTATAGATATATGAAGGCTTAGTAAAATATAATTTAATTGTCGTTTGTTTCTTGTCAGTTCACATCACCATCAATCTTGTTCCTCACTTTTCTTAACATGGTTAGAACTTCTGGTATAGTTTTCTCATAACTCAACAGAAAATAGTTCAATACCGTTGCTGCTTTAAGAGCTTCCGTTTGAGAAACGGGCTCTATAGTACATTGAACTAATAGTACAATGAATAATATACAGGTAAACAAATTAAACAAATGTATTTGTTGAAAATAATAATAAAAATAATTTCATAAATTAATAAGTTATTAATTAACGGATAAATTAATAATTATTAATTTATCGATAAGTTAATATTTCGCTGAAATTAATAGGATTTTAAAGGTCTAAATTGTATCAATTTATTTTGTCAAAAAACAAAATTGTATTAATTTATAGAGGTTTACCTGTATATAACACCCTCTACAAAAATTGTTTATATTACATGAATAAAATATATTTACATGTCAAAACGTATATCTATATCGACGACGCCGTCTCGTTTTTTTATAGCTATCTATTTTATTTCAAATCTTATCTTCTAAAACTTTGAATCCAGTTACTCTTTTTAATGAATTTATGGTTATATGTATTAATTTTTTATTGATTTTTGACATTTATCATTGATGTTATTCGCATTGGTTTCAATTTAAGATTTTACGCTTTCTACTCATTTTAATTTCAAAATATTTTTGCGTAGAACTTATAAATTATTACTAATTTTTTTTTTTTAAATTATAACAAGTTTCGACCTGTAAAAGTTGGGTCATACTATAAAACCATCAATCTTGTTCCTCACTTTTCTTAACATGGTTAGAACTTCTGGTATAGTTTTCTCATAACTCAACAGAAAATAGTTCAATACCGTTGCTGCTTTAAGAGCTTCCGTTTGAGAAACGGGCTCTATAGTACATTGAACTAATAGTACAATGAATAATATACAGGTAAACAAATTAAACAAATGTATTTGTTGAAAATAATAATAAAAATAATTTCATAAATTAATAAGTTATTAATTAACGGATAAATTAATAATTATTAATTTATCGATAAGTTAATATTTCGCTGAAATTAATAGGATTTTAAAGGTCTAAATTGTATCAATTTATTTTGTCAAAAAAAAAATTGTATTAATTTATAGAGGTTTACCTGTATATAACACCCTCTACAAAAACTGTTTATATTACATGAATAAAATATATTTACTTGTCAAAACGTATATCTATATCGACGACGCCGTCTCGTTTTTTATAGCTATCTATTTTATTTCAAATCTTATCTTCTAAAATTTTGAATCTCTAGTTACTCTTGGTAATGGATTTATGGTTATATGTATTATTTTTTATGATTTTAGCCATTTATCATTGATGTTATTCGCATTGGTTTCAATTTAAGATTTTACGCTTTCTACTCATTTTAATTTCAAAATATTTTTTGTGTAGAACTTATAAATTATTACTAATATTTTTTTTTAAATTATAACAAGTTTCGACCTGTAAAAGTTGGGTCATACTATAAAACCATCAATCT